AAAAGAGGGCGAGCGGCTGTGAATATCGAAACCTTGGGAAGGTTTCACACCTTTTGGGGTTTTTTGGGGTTTTTTTTTTGAGCGCGCTCAGGTTGCAGACGTGACTTGGTCTCCTCTGCAGGCTGGACCAGGACGGGTTCTTCCGTACCCGGGGCCCTGTGCACCGTAGTGGAGGGATGCAGCAAAATGCACCCTGAGCCTGGGCTGGCTGGGGTGGCAGCAGAAGGACCTCCTGATGGATCTCACCTGCCTTGGGGACGTACCTGTGAGACGTGATTCCCCGGTGTGAAGTCCCCCAGGAGGTCCTGGGTTTGATGGCTCTATAAAAGGCATTAGGAATTTACTGGCACCTCTGGGTGCTCAGACGTGCACGTAACCTGCAGCACAACCCGGCGTGAGGCAACCTTTGGCTGGTTGCTTCAAAGTCCACTGTTTACTAACGATGCCAACGGCGCCGGCAGCCTTTTATTGAGCGCTGCTGTTTGCTCAGGAGCTCTTAAAAAGCAGCTAAGCCCGAGCGATTTATTCTGCTGTGACTTGGCTGAAGCATCCGTGGTTTCTTTGGTTTCTTCTGCAGTCCTAGCTTTCCCCCCCCCTTGGTTGCAACGCCACTGGGCGTTAATAGCAGAGCTGCTTGGAAAGGCGCTGGGTATTTCAAAACCTATTAAGTCCCCACCCATCCTGTCTGCATCACCGCATCTCCCACTCCTGTAATCCTCCCCAGTTCTTTGCCGTGTTCTACGTGAAACTTGTTAAAATCAATCCGTCCCCTCTTCGTCCTTCCCCGGGGGGTCTCTCAGGATACCTCAGGGCAAGGTGCAGGTGTCTGGAGGGTTCCTGGGATCGGAATTGGGGGATGGAGCTGGCAGGATTTGGGGGAGAAAATGCAAGTGGATGCAAAACGGGTGCCAGATCGCCGCAGCTCTGCTCCTGGCGTTGGCCCGGCTGGCGGTGCACCAAGGGGCTTCCCTGGAAGGCTGTGTAGGTGTCATGGGGGGAGAAACAGGGAATTATCCTACCGCAAACGGCTTGTGATGGCTGCGGCAGGGGGTGTC